ATCGGGAGTTGGGGCCGTCGAACGGAGCTCCGATGACGACGGGTCGCTGGGGACCGACCGGAGTCTGGCGGTGGGGTGGCATCTAGGTGACGCACTACGTACATTCTAGAGTCAATACGTACCTACTTGTACTTGCCTACTTCCTACAGGCCGGGCCGGTTGTGCCTGCCTCAGGTACGTCGCGCTACCAAGTACCACTCGCTCACAGTCGCCGTGCGAGCCCGTAGGTACATTCTACACCCACGCAGGGTACACAGGTACCTCAAATATTACTCGGTAGGTACATAATACTAGGTTCGCAGTGCTGCTGCCTTCGGATGCCCAAGAAATTGTTCCAACTTTGGTTGGAAGCAGGGCATCACAGCGCCATCCCAGAACGACACCCTCGCTTCCCCGCGAAGCGTCCACCGACGACTGGCCGCCCGCTCGCGAGCCCGTCGCAGTCACCACCCCGCGCCAACTGCCTGGCTTGGGCCCGCCCCCGGCACGACCAAATGCGCCCGGCACCGGCTCGCACCGCCATCGGTGGTGGTGTCCGAGCTTGGTCGGCGGCTGCGGCGCCAGCTACACCAACACCGCCGTCACCGACCGCCCTGCGCCCGCCCCGCGATGCCGCCTCGTCGCCCATGCGCCTGGCCGTTGTCGGCTCCGGCCCCGCCGGGTTCTATGCCGCGTCCAGGGTCATGTCGAGGCTGCCTGGCGCCCGCGTCGACATGTACGAGGGCCTCCCCGTGCCCTTTGGCCTGGTCCGTCACGGTGTTGCCCCGGACCACCCCGAGGTCAAGGTGATGCCAGCGATACCTTCCCTTTGCCCGCCTGCTGACCCGGAATCGCGGCGCAGAACTGTCAGGACCGCTTTGGCGAGATCGCCTCGGCCTCCAACTTCCGCTTCCTCGGCAACGTCTCCGTCGGTCAACCCGTCCACGCCGCCGACCACTGCACTGTGCCGCTTCGCTCTCTCATGCGCCATTACGACACCATACTTCTCGCCTACGGTGCCTCGGAGGACAAGAAGCTCGGCATTCCCGGCGAGTCCACCCTGACGGGCATCTACTCGGCCCGCCAGTTTGTCGGCTGGTACAACGGTCTCCCCGAATGCGCCGGCCTCCAGCCCGACCTCCTCCGTGGCGAGGACGCCGTTGTCGTTGGCCAGGGCAACGTCGCCCTGGATGTGGCCCGCATCCTGCTGGAGGATGTCGACGTACTGAGGAAGACTGACATCACGGAGCGCGCCCTTGCTGAGCTGGCCCGGAGTCGCGTACGGAGGGTCCACGTCGTTGCCAGGCGCGGCCCGATGCAGGTGAGACCCTATCCCTCTGCCGCGTCTTGACCAGCCGGGTGCCTTTTTATGAGCCATTTGACGCTCATGCCCTTCTAGGCAGCCTTCACAATAAAGGAGGTGCGGGAGCTCATGAAGCTGCCTGGTGTGGCCTTCTGGCCCGCAAACCGAGCCCTCATCCCGGAGGACATCAAGTCCCTCCCTCGCGCCTCGAGGCGCCTCATGGAAGTCCTGCTTAAAGGAACCTCGCTGTCCCCGGGGCAAGCATCACGCTCCTGGTCACTTGACAGCTGTCTCTCGCCCAGGCACTTTCTCGGTCGCCAGGACGACCCAACAGCTGTGGCAGGAACAGAATTCGACGTAACCCATCTCCAGGACCCCTTTGACCCCGCGTCGCGCGTTGTGAACACGGGCACCACCAAAATACTACCGTCCGACGTCGTTTTCCGCTCCGTGGGCTACAGATCCGTGGCCCTCCCCGAATTCGCCGAGGCCGGCATTCAATTCGACACGAAGCGGGGCATCGTTGACAATGATGGCCTGGGCAGAGTGATCCGCCTCGTTTCCGACGGCGACGCAACCCCCCATGTGAAAACCCAACAAGTCGCCGGGTTATACTGCGCCGGTTGGCTCAAGAGAGGGCCCACGGGCGTAATTGCGTCCACAATGCAGGACGCTTTTGCCACAGGCGATGCCATAGTGCAGGACTGGCTGTCCGGAGGCCGGTTCCTGCAGCCTGACCAGGGTCAGTCTCCTGGTGGGTGGGAGGCGGTCGTGCAAGACGTCGGTCCTAGTGCAACATCCGCCGTCTCATGGGATCAGTGGCTCAGAATCGATGCGGCCGAAAAGGGCCGTGGGCATCGTTTGGGCAAGGAGAGGGAGAAGTTCACCAGCACGATCGACATGCTGTCGGTGCTTTGACTTCGAGCACCAGCCCGGGCGACAGACGGCCTGGCTGAGAGATGGGGCATGCCCGGCATACATGTGCATGTGATGTAATAATACGTACGAACCCACGATAAACGCCACATCTAAGAGCTCTTGACCTTCTCGGTCAGTTCCGGGACCTTCTCGAACAAGTCGCCGACCAAGCCCACATCTGCCACCTGGAAGATAGGCGCGTCCGCATCTTTGTTGATGGCCGCAATAACTTTGCTGTCCTTCATGCCTGCCAGATGCTGAATGGCGCCGGAAATGCCAACGGCCATGTAGAGCTGAGGGGCGACGACCTTGCCAGTCTGGCCGACCTGGAGGCTGTTGTCTGCGTAGCCACTGTCGACGGCGGCCCGTGACGCACCGACGGCAGCCCCCAGGGCATCTGCGAGGGGCAGCATAACCTTGTCGAAATCTTCCTTGGACTTGAGGCCGCGACCACCAGAGACGACTTTGCTCGCCGTTGCCAGGTCCGGGCGGTCTGATTTAGCAAGGTCCTCAGACACCCACTCCGTGGTCGAGTCGGCCTTGGGGTCAGTCCCCTGCACAACGGAGGCAGAACCGGCTTCGGCCGTGGCGGGCGCAAAGGCTGTTCCTCGAATGGTGATGATCTTGACGGCGTCCGACGACTCGATCGTAGCGATGGCATTGCCGGCGTAGATGGGACGGACAAAAGTCTTGTCGTCCTGAACGCCCGTGATATCTGATATCTGCTGCGAGTCCAAGAGCGCGGCAACCCGGGGCAGCACATTCTTGCCGAATGCCGTATGGCCGCCGACGACGTGAGTGTAGTTGCCCTTCTTGATGTTCTCGACCAGTAGCGGAGCATAGTTCTCGGGAAGACCCTGGCAGAGCAAAGTCAGCTTCGGGAGTCCCCATGGTAGGATACGGAGATGGTGACCTTCTCGTATGCCTCGTTCTCGACGGTAACAATCTGCTCAACACCCTCCACCTTGGCGGCCTGAGCAGCGGCAGCCGAGACAGAGCTGCCAGCAATGAAGCCGTGGACAGTGCCGCCAAGCTTCTTTGCCGCGGTGAATGCGCTCAGCGAGCCAGCGTTCAATTGGCCACCGCGCTGCTCAAGGATGGCCAACGTCGACAGAAAGCGGCCGCGATAGCCAGAGCTGCCGATGGGCGACACGGCCCGCCCCAGCAGGACCCGTCTGGCGGCAAAAAGCATGGTGTGTGTGCGGGTGGTGGGTGGGCGAGCAGCGAGGGTTGATTGATGGCTCGACTTGCCGGCTTCGTCTTCGTTTCCGCCGTCGCCCTCGTCGACAAGAATGAGCGTTGGTCGGGTCCGTGACTGGGGCGGTTTGAGCAGGTGGCGGAGACGACAGAGACGGCAGACTGGAAGTCCGGGTGGACGCGGCCCGAGGTTTCGGCGCTACGAGACCGTCATCGGCCCCAGCGGCGCGCGGGATGGTGGCCGCCGCCTGTTCCTTGCCTGTGCCTGCAAAACGACCTACCTGGCTGTCAGCTCCTCGGAGACGGCTGTGCGCCTGCACGTGACTTACTCTCCGACGATTCCCGTTTCGCATGCCTGACGTGTCACGTGAGTGGTGATCCACAGCCGTCACTTTTGATGGGGACTGACCAGTCGCGCATCCGCACAGAAGGGAACGACGGCCGCACAGGGCGGAACAAGTCATCAGATGTACAGGATACAAGGCCGGCCCTGCACCTGGCGGCTAGAAGGCCGCTGAGCCGGGGAAATCTGGGACGAGGAGAATGTAGAGGTACGCCTCCAAGGCAAACGGCGCCGTCGGGCCCACCATTACTTATTTCATTGGTTGAGCTCACGTCGAGCTCGCGCGCTCAATGGACAGACACGCCAAGCTGGAGCCTCTCACTTGCCAACCCCCGTCCTCCCATCGATGTCGCGCCAAATTTCTTACTTGCACCGTCACGCACCCACTCTACCTTGCCAATTCCCATCGCCGCGCCGACCACAGACGACGCGCCAGCCACTGAGCATCACGACGCCATCGTCCGGGCTGCCCAAGATCCATCCAAGGGCGCCAACTACGCAAGTTGCCCTCGCATAGGCTGCAGCCAGCCATTCTTCGCGCCTGACGCGTCGCTCTTCTTCCTAGCACCCCCTTTGTCGGCGGACGTGTCCCTTCTTTTCATCGGAGCGACCGCGAAGCGACGTCGCCATGGAGGATTCTGCAACATACGGCTCCCCGGGGAACGGCGCATCCCCCAACGGAAACCCCATCTTGGCGCAACCTCCGCTCCAGCCCGATGCTGGTGCGACCGACGGTCAAGGTAAAACGCGCCGCCTCTCCCCTCCGACGTTGCCCTCGCTAACCCGCTACCATCTGCGCAAACAGACGTACAGATGTCCGAAACCAATGCCAATGAGGCTACGATCAAGCAAGACAGTACCACGCCCGGCCCGGCCGTCGGTTCTGACGAGCCCTTGAACGCCCCGGATGGACCTCCGGCCGAGACAACAGTCCGCGCTGACGAGGAAATGGGCGATGCGCCGACCGACGATGCCAAGCAACCAGCCGCCGCTGCAGGGGAGGATACCGTGCCTGTAAGCGACGGCCAGGACAGCAAGTCCAAGGAGACCACCGAGTCCGCCGCCCGAGAACACCTCGTCTCCCAGACGCATGCCATTGTGCTGCCCAGCTACAGCACTTGGTTCGACATGAACGGAATCCACGGCATTGAGCGCAAGGCCATGGCGGAGTTCTTTAACAATCGAAACAGGAGCAAGACACCCACTGTCTACAAGGATTATCGGGACTTTATGATCAACACGTACCGCCTCAACCCTGCCGAGTACCTCACAGTCACCGCCTGCCGTCGTAATTTGGCAGGAGATGTGTGCGCCATCATGAGAGTCCACGCTTTCCTGGAACAGTGGGGGCTTATCAACTATCAGGTGAGCCTCGCTACGGTTCGTTTCATAGTGTCCTTCCATTCGCGAACTAATCAGATGGTGTAGGTGGATGCGGATCAACGACCATCCCACGTCGGACCGCCGTTTACCGGCCATTTCAAAATCATCTGCGACACGCCTCGCGGTCTCCAGGCGTGGCAGCCGTCGGCGGATCCTGTTGTTCTGGAAGGCAAGAAGAACCAGGACACAGACCGAAAAGCCAGTGTCTCGGCTGCCGGCAAAGGCGACCTGAACCTCGAAATTGGGCGGAACATTTACGAAGCCAATGCCAAAGGCGCTCCAGTTGGAAAGACGGAGGGCAAGGCCAATGGCGAGGCGCCGGCGACAAACGGTGTGTCCGGCGCGGATGAGCTCACGACGACGCCAGTGACGAAGGTGAACTGCCACCAGTGCGGTAACGACTGCACGCGCGTTTACTTCCACAGCACACAAACGGATCCGACTTCCAAGGCCAAGTACGATGTGTGCCCGCTCTGCTTCACGGAGGGTCGGCTACCGGCAAATCATACCTCCAGCATGTACACAAAGATTGAGAATCCGGCGTACGCGACGGGTCTTGACCGGGACTCCCCGTGGACAGATGCGGAGATACTTCGACTGCTTGAAGGACTGGAGCGATTCGACGAGGACTGGGGCGAAATTGCAGACCACGTGGGAACCCGAACCCGCGAGGAGTGCGTCTTGCAGTTCCTTCAACTCGACATTGAGGAGAAGTATCTTGGTTCAGAACCCGCCGTGAACGCACCAACCGGCCTGTCGATGCTTGGGTCGCAGCACGGCCAGCTTCCATTCAGCTCGGTGGACAACCCGGTAATGTCGGTTGTGGGCTTCCTTGCTAGTCTCGCAAACCCAGCCAGCACGGCCGCCGCCGCACACAAGTCTGCGGACGAGCTGAAGCGGAGCCTGCGGAAGCAGCTGGATGGAGGGCGTGCAAGTGAGGAGGACAACGGCGAGGGTCTGGAAGCTGAAAGAGGCAACGGAAGCAAGAACGAGGACGAGGAGGCACCCAAAGGTGGCGACTCGATGGACGTAGACGTCCGCCAGGAGCTCACGACGACCTCGACAACGATGACCACGACTACGACGACGACGACGACTACCAACAAGGCGACTCTGGCATCGGTTCCGCTGGCGTCAATTGGCGCCCGGGCCGCGGGCTTCGCATCGCACGAAGAGCGCGAAATGACGCGACTGGTTTCGGCGGCCGCCAATGTGACGCTACAGAAACTGGAGATGAAACTCAAGTACTTCAACGAGATGGAGGAGGTGCTTCGGGCGGAGAGACGCGAGCTGGAGCGTGGTCGGCAACAGCTCCTGCTGGACAGGCTCGCGTTCCGGAGACGGACGCGCAACGTGGAGGAGAAGCTCAAGGCGGCGGCAGCGGTGGGCGGCGAGCAGGGAGCCCGCATTGCGCACGAGGCAGCAGCCAGCGAGGCGGATGGGCTGAATTTCCAGCCAGCCGGCAGCACGTCATCGACGCTGCTCCCTCCCAGCAGCGACGGGCAGACCAAGAGCCATGAGGTGTGAGCTGCGGGGCGTTGATGCGTCGACAGCCTGAACCCGTGGACCTGTGCAGGCTCGGAGCGCGGTATGGAAGGCGCTGGAAACAGCGCCATGGTTTTTGTTTTGATTTCCTGTCCTTGACAGCCCACGGCGCGCAAGAGGGTACGTACGGGACGAGACGGTACGCGCGGGAGCGTCGCGGGCGCGTGTATGTAATTGTATCCTGTGCTTGTGCTTCGTCTTGCTTTTCTTCTTTTTCCTTTGTGCTGTGCCAGGCAGGTCTCTCTCTGCTATTGTACTTTTCCGCCGGGAGAGGAGTTGGTTTTGCGGGGAGGAAACGGGCGCATCACCAATTGACTGGGGACACCTTTGCTTGTCGCACGGACCGACTGAGTTGACTACGCACGTACCTCAGCCAAGGTACTGTACTGTGGTGTGGTGGCGATGTGAATGTGTGCGGAACCTACTTATGCACAGTGACAGCTTTCCGCCCGCGACCGGCGGTGGCCATGGGGTGCAGGTCATGTCCGGCAGGGGCGCCGGGGCCGGCGGCCGGCGAAGGCCACGGCGACGGCGACGACGCGCAGGGGCTGCGGGGTCGCCTGTCGCCGCCTGCGGCTTGGGGAGCGTACCAAAACCTGGGGTCGTCGGCACGCCGGCCTGCAGGATGCAGCGCCGAAAGACGGCCGCGGGCTTCACCGAGGGTGCGGAGCTGGCAGCTGGAGCGGTGCGAGGTGTGCGCCGGGCTCCTGGTGTGCTGTGGCTAAGCTGCTGCGTAACTACTTAAGCGGCTAGGTTCGCGTCTGTGGCCGCCCGGGTGGTCATTATACGTACGTGGTACCTAAGCCGGCATCGACTCAGACAGCAGCCGCTCACCCACACAGTCCTCGTGTCAGCATACTCGTACAAGCGGTGCGGCGTTGACGGCAACCTCTCTTTTTCTTGTTGCCTCTCGTGCCTGCCTTCCTATCCTTGCCCTTCGGTTCCGTCGGCCCCCTTTTGGTCGCGCAGCCCAGAGCAATCCTGCGGCGCCCAAACGCTGTCGGGTCTCGCTCGGTCCCCCCACCCTCGCCCCCCCGCTGGTTGTTCTTTTACCTCGGCTGTTGTGGCCGCACCACCACCAGGGGACCCGCCCCGTCCGTCCGGGTGCTCGGTTGGCTGCGCGCGCGGCCTGTTCCAGAATCCCGAAGGCGGGCTGCTCGTCTCCGCATCGGCCAGCTCCACCGTCACGTCACGAGCCTGGGGTCGAAGAGAGTCAAGGCATGTGCATGTGGGCTCCCTGGCGACTTGCCTAGGTAGCACAGAAAAAAAGAAGAAGAGGTACGATACGACTCTGCGCGGCCACAGTTCGGGCTGCTCTCGAGGCGGCGTTCAAGGCAACGTGGCTCGCTTTCAAGTTGAGGCATTTCGGGCGACTGACTGACCTTCAGCCGCGCTGTGCTCGTTCGCCCGCTCGTCTGCAAGGTACAGTACCAAGGTGCTATAGGTTACTAGGTAGTACTGGGCAACTCTACTTTCGGTACTCGGTACTCCTCGGTACTCTCGAGTCTTGACTCCTAAGGAATTGGAGAAGCAGCAAGAGCCCCCGGTTGCTCCTACCGCCCGAGCCGACACCAACAAGAGGCAGGCGCGTCCGTCCGCACCGCACCACACACAGCACCTGTCTGGAAGGAGTGCCTGGCCTGGACAATAAAAATAAGTGGACAGACCTGGCAAGCAGGAGCCGATCCGCCGCGGCTGCCCCGAATCCGAATCCAACCCCGGCCGCTTCTTTTCCCTCGACGCCGCCTCGCTCCAAATCCTGCCTCCCTTCCCGAGCCCTCCATCGCATCGCATCTCTCGCGCTTGTGAAGCTCCCCGCCATCCTCCCTCACTCTCTTTGCTCGCCGCCGCGGTGTGCGAGCCACCTGTCCCTACCCTTGCCTTGAGGCACCGGCCAAGCCAAGCAAGGTATTCATTCCCATCCGTCCATCCGTCGCTTCGGGTACGACATCATGCAGTAGCCACATGCGCCCGCGCCCGTGCATTTCCATACAAGTACATCGCTCACGCCCAGTCAGTGCCACACCCAAGGGCCGGCCATGTTGACGTCCGCCGCGCGCTCTCACGCCCTGAGAAACAGCCTCCGACGCATCACGACGCCAGCGCTTCCCCTCGCCATGCCCCCAACCAAGAGAAACAGCAGCTCCCTGCCTCCGGGTTCGTCTCCTGCTGCCCCTTCCCTGAACATTCTTCTGGTGTACTTAGCTCTAGGATTCACCGGCTAACCCCTACCTGCGCACAGGCTACGCCGAGGACAAGTCCAAGGGTGCCATGCTGCGGTTCCAGGACTCCCTGCCTCGCCTGCCTGTCCCTACGCTCGAGGAGACGGCGAAGCGATACCTCAAATCCCTTCATCCTCTCCTCTCTCCGGCCGAGTTCGAGACCAGCAAGGCTGCCGTCGCCGAGTTCGTTAAGCCCGGCGGTGTTGGTCATCGCCTTCAGGACAAGCTTGTCGCGCGTCGCGAGGACCCTGCGACCAAGAATTGGATCTACGAGTGGTGGAATGACGCGGCCTACCTTGCGTATCGCGACCCGGTCGTTCCCTACGTCAGCTACTTTTATTCCCATCGTGACGATCGCGCACGTCGTGAACCGGCCAAGCGCGCCGCCGCCATCACCGCGGCCGTGCTCGAATTCAAGAAGCTCGTCGACGCCGGCGCTCTCGAGCCCGAGTACATGAAGAAGCTGCCCATCTGCATGGACAGCTACAAGTGGATGTTCAACGCCTCTCGCGTCGCCGCTCGGCCCGCCGACCACCCTGTCAAGTTCTCTGCTGAGGGCCACCAACACATCGTTGCCATTCGCCGAAATCAGTTTTTCAAGATCGACCATCACGTTGGTGGCAAGCAGCTCAATGCTTCTGAGCTTGAACGCCAGTTCGAACGCGTCTATGCTCTCGCTGCCCAGCGCGTGGCCCCCGTCGGCGCCCTTACTTCCGAAAACCGTGACGTCTGGGCCGATGCTCGCGTCGCTCTGCTCGAGGCTAGCCCTCGCAACAAGGGTCTTCTCGAGGCCATTGAGTCGGCTTCCTTCGTCGTCTGCCTGGACGACGCCAAGCCTGTCACTCTTGAGGAGCGGGCCCACCAGTATTGGCATGGCGACGGTGCCAATCGCTGGTACGACAAGCCCCTGCAGTTCATTGTCAACGACAATGGCACCTCTGGCTTCATGGGCGAGCACTCCATGATGGACGGCACGCCCACCCATCGACTCAACGACTACATCAACGACCTCATCTTTGGCAACAAAATTGATCTGTCCGACCCTGCCGTCCGCTCTGACTTGCCCGAGCCACAGCTGCTGCAATTCGATATCACACCTCAGGTCCAGGCCGACATTGATCGCGCCGTCGCCGACTTCCACCGGGTCATCTCTCAGCACCAGCTCGCCGTCCAGGCCTACCAGGGCTACGGCAAGGGCCTCATCAAGAAGTTCAAGTGCTCGCCCGATGCCTATGTCCAAATGATTATTCAGCTCGCGTATTACAAGATGTATGGCAAGAGCCGTCCCACCTACGAGTCAGCAGCCACGCGCCGTTTCCAGCTCGGCCGCACTGAAACGTGCCGCACCGTGTCTGACGAATCAGTCGCCTGGTGCTCCGCTATGGCTGATGCTGCGCTCGACGATGCCACCCGCGTCGACCGCTTCCGCAAGGCTATCAATGCCCACCTTGAATACATCACCGCGGCGTCCGACGGTAAGGGCGTCGACCGCCACCTGTTTGGCCTCAAGAAACTCCTTGAGCCTGGTGAAGATGTTCCCGCCATTTACAAGGATCCGGCCTACGGCTACTCGGGCTCCTGGTATCTGTCTACTTCGCAGCTCAGCTCCGAGTTCTTCAACGGCTACGGCTGGAGCCAGGTTATTGACGGCGGGTTTGGCATCGCCTACATGATCAATGAGAACAGGTACGTGTCCACTAACATTGCTCCCTGGCAGCTAGGGCTGCTGCGAAAGGTCTCTTTAGACTTCATTGGCCCTTCACACCGGAGCAGCAGCAAGTACTGACCAAGCTTTTACAGCATCAATTTTAATGTCGTTTCCAAGGGCCTCGGCAGCGACCGCATGAGCTACTATCTCAACGAGGCTGCGGGCGAAATGCGCGATCTCCTCCTGCCAACTCTAGAGTCGCCCAAGGCCAAGCTGTAGTTGGCCAATATCGGGTCCGAACCTCGACCTGCCTTGCGACGCCGGGCTCTGTTTCGCGGCTGCGGATGGCAACATACTCGTACTTGACGGTGGCGGCCTCGTGTCCTGCCGCTTAGGGCTATACAGCAAGGACAGGCAAAGCACTATTGAATGGCATCTGTCTCACCATGTTCAGGAGTTCCGCATGCCCTGCGCCCTCGCGGTTCTGTATATTTCATCATACTCTTTGCGCATTCGGGAGGGCCCTTCTCTTTGTGATGCTTGAGCCATTGACGCTGAAGGAAATTTGGCTCGTGTGTCGCGCCGAGGCATAGAACAGCAATCTGGTAGAATAGACTGGCTTGCGTCAAGAGACTTTGTTTTGGTTTTGTCCAAGAAGTATCATTTAACAACACAATATAATGCATGGCATGAGCCAAGGTCTGTCTATCCAGCTGGCTATGATATCCACAGACAGTCGTGGTCCACATGGCACCAAAAACCAAGAGAAAAAAATTGTGTCCATGCTCTCTCTGATCGCCGAGATTAGATTCGTCTCCTACCGGCGACTTGTCCAGGTCATCGGGGCACGCGACACTCGGGCCACGAAGCCAGTCAGTTGACGGGAGCCACGGATCAGACGTTCCGCGTTACAGAACTCCTTCATCTAGTGAACAGATTCCTTGGGCTCTTGGTCGATGGAGGCAATGGCGGCGCGCATGCTGAATCTAGCCGGCGTGAGCAACAATCTCACTCACCAATTCGCCCTTGCCTTCATCAAAGTATGAACATATCTGCGACGGGAGGGGAACCTCCTTGTAGTCGTCACTGGGGCTCGAGATGACGTTCAAATTGATACCATCGGACTTGCTCGTAAAAAGCTTGGTTCCGGTGCTCTCCTTACTCAGGTAGATCTGAGCACCGTCGACCTGGTCCAGCATGACGGTGGGGATGGTGCCAAAAACTTGCAGTCCGAAATTTTGGGCCTTGACGACGTCCACGGTCGAAACTAGGGTGTCGAGAACAAGCGACAGCCGGGACGAATTCTCGACGGTAACCTGGTTTGCCTTGCCCTTGAGGATGACGGTAGTGTTGTTGCACCGGCTGATGAGAACCGATTGGTTCAAAGAAACGTTGATCTCGATTGGCTCGGATTCCTTGTCATAGTTCTCCTACTTTGTGTCAGCATAGCGTTCGATGTGTCGCGAGTATCAGGCGGGGGATCGTCATGTACCAAAGTCCACTTGTTGCCTTCTAGCTCTTTCCTGGCTGGCTTCTTGACACGCATGCTCTCCGGTTTCGGCTTCTTGCCGGGGGCCGGACTCTTGGCCCTGTCGCTAACAGCCGACCCGGCGCGCAGTGAGGGGTTCTTGTGCGTCATTTCCGACTTGTCGACCTTGCGGAGGCCCTTGGTGACCGCCGCACCCTTGTTGAGCTCAGAGAAAACGGCGCCAAGTCCGCTGGGGGAGGCGGTGCCTGGTGGTGTCTCTGTCTTGATGTCCAGAACTGGCGGCGGCCCTGGCGGCGGGGGAGGAGGGG